AAGGTTAATTTTAGCTACATAGTGAGTTTGAGGCCAGCCTGCCTCATAAACAAAAAATGAGCCAGGCAGGGCTGGAGAGATGGCTCAGTGGTTAAGAGACCTGACTGCTCTTGCAGAGGACCCAGGTTTGATTCCCAGCACCTACATGGTGGTTAACAACCATCTGTAGCTCCAGTTCCAGGGGATCTGACGCCTTCTTCTGATTTCTGCAGGCATTCCATGACACAGGTGTACACACATGCAGGCAATACACTCATACACATAAAATAAAAATAAAAAATAAATGAGCCAGCATGTTGGGATTGCCTTTAATCCCAGCACTCAGGAGGCAGAGACAGGTGGAACTCTGTGAGATCGAGGTCAGTCCAGTCTACAGTATGGTGAGTTCCAGGCCAGCTGGGGCTACAGGGAGACCCTGTTTAAAAAAAACAAAAAAACAAAAAAATGACTGGAGAGATGGTTCAGAGGTTAAGATAAGAGCACTGGCTGCTCTTGTAGAAGACCTGGGTTTAGTTCCCAGTGCCCACATGGCAGCTAACAACATCTGTAACTCTAGTTTCAAGGGATTCAATGCCCTCTTCTGGCCTCCTCAGACATTGCACATACATGGTAAACTTATCTACTTGCTGGCAAATCACTCATGCATATAAAATAAAAATACATTTAAGGGGCTGGAGAGATGGCTCAGCAGTTAAGAGCACTGGCTGCTCTTGCAGAAGAACCAGGTTCAATTCCCAGCACCCATATGGCAATTAACAACCATCTATAACTCCAGTTCCAGGGGAATCCAACACCCTCTTCTGGCTTCTGTGGGCTTTGGACGACATGGATGCACTTACATACATGTAGGCAATACACTCATACACAACAAATGAAAATTATAAATAAAATATTTAAAAATCAAAATAAAAAAAATTTAAATTAAAAACAAAAAACCTCCACAAATAAGCTATCTAGTCTGTGATCAATATGGCAATTGAAAGAAAGTAATCCAGGAAGCATCTAGAAAAGAGGGATACTTGAGTAAATACTGTATTTTGAAATACTTGATTTAACTTTCTCTCCTCCAGGCCCCATCTAGAGATCTAAGTTGGATAAGCAAACAGGAACTAACTCTTCAGTGGTGGAAATTTGGGTAATTGCCACACATTCATTCAAACTAAAATATAGAGAAAATGATTTCTGTATATATTTTAGTTACAGTAACAATTCTTGTAACTTTTTTGTTTGTTTGAGAAAAGGTCGTAGGTAGTCCAGGCTGACCTAGACCTTACTATGTAGCTGAGGCTATCCTTAAACACCTAATCCTGTCTCTATCGCCCAAGTCCTAGTTTATAGATGTTTGCTACCATAGTTAATGTTTCTTGTGACTTTTTGGCACTGTTAGTTGGCACTTTGTCTTTGTTCTATGCTTTATCTTAGTTGTGCAGAACTAACTGATCTTTGTAATTGTTTAGGTGTTTTCACAAATGCCAAGAGAAAGCTCTGTTTAGAGACTATATTTCTGACTAAGGCTCATATGAAAATGAAATTGCTGGTATCTTCTAGGGCTATAGATATACTCAATAGCATTTTATTTTAGTTTGTTATTTATGTATTTTTCTTTTTGGATCTATGTTGCCCAGGCTGACCTAGAAGTCCTGGACTCAATAACCCTACTGCCTCAGCTTTCCCAAATAACTAGACTACCAATATACCTGGCCTAACAACATTTGATTAACTTTTTTTTCCTGTGCTTGGGATTGAGTCCAGAACCTTATACATAATGAGCACATGTTCTAACACTAAGGTACAACCCCACTGTCAAAAGCCTTTAAAATTTGATCTTGTTGATACGTGCCTCAATTCTGCCATATCTTTGGTTAAATGGGTGTATCTGCCTCCTGGTGTAATTGTATTAAAGGAGTCCATATTTACAAAGCATTTAGATAAACTCCTGCCACACAGTAGAAGGGTTAATCCTTGTACTCACCTCTCTCTTGTAATTGATTTTAGACAGTAGCTCTGGTTGGCCTAGAGTTCACTATGAGGCAATCCTCCTGCTTCAGCCTCCCAGTACTAGGATTACATGTATGAGCCACCACACCCTGCTCTCTCTCTTCTAAGTACTGGAACTTATTTCTCAAGGTACTTCTAGGGTAGAAAGTGTACTATTTTCCTATTCACAGAACTGTGTCTGGTGCATAGTATCCTTCAGCAAATATCTGTTACCTATAAGGTATTATTTAGTAGGTGGTAGACATTCCCCTCTGACCTTGAAGAAAGTCAGTGGGTAGAAAAAGAGATATGAATCCCAAAAATAGACATTTGGAAATTGGCAAGAGGCAAGTTGGCCAAAGAAGAGAGCAGGGGAGAAAAATAAATAGAACACTGGGAAAAAATGTCTGGCAAGAGATGAAAGAAGAGCTGGGCGTGGTGGCACACGCCTTCAATCCCAGCACTAGGGAGGCAGAGGCAGGCAGATCCCTGTGAGTTCGAGGCCAGCCTGGTCTACATAGTGAGTTCCGGGACAGCTGGGGCTACAGGGAGACACTGCTTCAAAAAGAAAAAAAAAAAAAAAAAAAAGAGAGATGAAAGAAGAAAAGGAGCTCTAGAGCCCATGGAGATGGTTTAGCAGGTTAAAGCGCTTACTGCCAAACCTGATGGCCTGAGTTCCATCCCCAGGACATACAAGCATGGTGGAAGGAGAGAACCAACTCCCATAAGTTCTCCTCTGACTTTCATACAAGTGCCATGGCACACACTGACATAATAAATAAATTTTAAAAGGCGCTGTGAGAGGATAGTGTACTTTAAAAGAAACCATGAAAAGAATTCAAGGGAATTGAAGTTGGTCAAGAGGATAGGCTGTCTTACAGGTACTGAATGAAACATTTGTGGTTAGTAAGCAGCTGACTCTGAGGTTAATTTTTTTTAAGTCTCTGAGGAAGGAAGTGACAGTCATTGCAAAATTGTTTTCTAACACTTGGCAGGATTTCAAGTGTGGGCTGCTGTCTGCCTTGTGCCTTGTCAGGAAAATATGGGGAGCTGGAAAGCATGGAAAGTCTGGGTCTCAGAAACGCTGCTTTATAGGCCGTTGTGGTGGCACACACCTTTAATCCTAGCACTGGGGAAGCAGAGGCAGGCGGATCTCTGTGAGTTCGAGGTCAGCCTGGTCTCCATAGTGAATCCAGAACAGCTGGGGCTACAGGGAGACCCTTTCTCAAAAAGACCGAAAAAAAAAAAAAAAAAAAAAATGTGCTTTACAAGAAACCTGTTGACGTGGACATCTTCACTCACCACAAGCAACAGAAAATTCAATAATATGCCCACTTTGTCCATCATTTTAAAAAATATTTTATGTGTATGTGTGTATTGCCTACATGTAGGTAAATGCACCTGTGTCATGCAATGTCCGGGGAGGTCAGAAGAGGCTACAGGATCCCCTGGGACTGGAGTTACAGACAAGGGAACTGTTGTTAGCTGCCATGTGGGTGCTGTGTTGTTAGCTGTCATGCAGGTGCTAGGATTCGAACCCGGGTCTTCTCCAAGAACAGCTAGTGTTCTTAATTGCTGAGCCATCTCTCTGGTCCCTGTCCATCATTTTTTAGGCTTGCAAAACAGGTTCTATAATATTTTGGCCAGTCAGACAAAATGATCAGTACAAGTTTTTTCTTTCTTTTTTTTTAATCTGAAGAATCTCCTTCAGTAGGCTTGAATCTCCATAGGGTTCCACCACCCATGAATAACCAGTTCTTCGAGTTCTTCCTGATGATTCTGATTATTACAATGGACTTACTCCTTGTACTCGTTAGTAGGACAGGGAAAGAGGAATCTTAATATTTGCGAGAAGCGAAAGGCGGTTTAAAAACATAATAGGTACCAGGCGTGGTGGCGCTCGCCTATATAATGCCAGCACTTGGGAGGCAGAGGCAGGCGGGTTCTCTTTGGGATCCAGGCCAGCCTGGTGTCTCATAGTTAGTTCCAGTCCAACTGGGGCTACAAGGGAGAACCGGTCCTTAAAAAAACCAAAAAAAAAAAAAAAAAAAACAATAACAACGCCAAAAACCCTAAGAGGTAAGCATCACTTTGCATTCAAAACTAATCTGAGGACCTGAAAACCCCTACGTGGTCAAATAGGCTCATGGGAATCTACCAAGCAAGATAAAAATACTTTCTCAACATATGGTCTTATGGGGACTTTTCTTATTATTTGGAGAAAAATTAACCCTATGCAGCTGCTGGGGAAAAAAATGAATTGTGTACTTTTTTTTTTTTTTTTTTTTTTTTTTTTTTTTTTGGTCTTTTTGAGACAGGGTCTCCCTGTAGCCCCAGCTGTCCTGGAAATCACTAAGTAGACCAGGGTGGCCTTGAACTCACAGAGATGCGCCTGCCTCTCTGCCTTCCGAGTACTGGGATTAAAGGCCTGCGCCACCACACCCGGCAGAATCGTGTACTTTTTAAAAGAGGGTTTTCCATATAATGTGGATGGCTCTACTATTGAATTTATCTTAAGCAGGCAGCTCTCCGGAGAGTCTGGAGCTCAAATAGTCTCTCGAGTAAAAGAATTACAAAGGACTGTATTTAGAGATGAGCTTTCAAGTCTCTTCCTCCCCGACCCCCTTAATCTCGCTCATTTCCACCCCACCCCCACCCCGTATAGCTCTCAGGTCATTTTAGAATGTGCTGCTTCCCTCAAGGAGAAAAGGTTTCGAGTCAATTCTCTGGAAAACAGAGAAGGTAGAGGACCCGGAGAATAATAGGGAGAAGGGATTCTGAAGGGCTCAGGACCAAAGGCTTCACGCGCAACTCCATCCCTGAGGATTCCAAAACACTCCGAATTGGAACAGCGGAACAAAGATGGCGCTAGCGCGCCGGGACTCGCCCGAGCCCTGCGGACTCTGCACTGCGGCCGTCCGCCAGAGGCCGCACGCCATTGGTCACCTTCGATGAGGTCATCCTGGGGGCGGAACCCTGCCGCGGCGTGGGGGCGGAGCCTTGCTGACGCACGCTCGGTAGAGGCGCTGCCCTCCCTGAGCCGGGGCTCTTCTGCGGCAGCTGCTGTGGCGGCTGCGGTGCCGGTAGCGAGAGGTGAGCGAGGGTTCGAGAAACAGCGCGTCCGGGAGCGGCTTTGGAGGGGCTGTAGGAGCGCGCTCCGGCAGTCACCTGGCTTGGTAGGGGCATTAGCAGGGATCTTAGGTCTCGGAGCGAAACATGGGGGTCGCGCCCTGCGGACACCCTTTTTGTGGGCAGAGGAACTGGAAGGCCACTGTCCTTTGGAAGGACCCGAGGGGTGGGGGCAGGGTAGAAGGATCGGATGGGCAGAAGAGTTTGAGGGTACTTCTTAAAGGGGCTTACAACTTGGGGATCCCCCTCCCCAACACGCACACCAAAGAGACTGGTGTGCCGGGGTCCAGAGAATTCGAACTTTCTCACTGGATAGACCAGACAAGAAGCAGGTGAATAATAAATACCCTGTTCAGCGGGGAGGCTAGGAAAACCCGAACGAGATCCTTCCCGGACGGGTGCGGGGGACGGGGCGCTGTTTGGATTCCTCTTTTGCAGAAATGCTCTTTATATTCCATTTCGTGACCACCCACCTCCCCGAAACGCTTTTCCAAATTCGTTTGTGTTTGGCTTCAATGTCGGTAGACATTCTTGGAGAGGTCCGTAATCATGAGAGAGAGAGAGGAGGGCAGCGTCTTATTAGAGGTAGTCATTTCTGACAAACCCCCGGACTATGCCTATCAGACATGATTTCACATATTTTGAGGTTCGGGAGTCTATCCTTGCTCAAGATGGAGAGAGAGACTGATTAATAGCTCCTTTGGATGATTCACATATGCACAGTCTTAAAGTCAACCCACATAATCTCTTGAGAAATCCTCTGAATGTGTTTTGTTGCCCTTGAACATCAAATGCAGAAGGGTTTTGTTGTTGAGATTTCTCAAAATGTCTTCCTGCCTTCCCAAAGAACACATCATCCTTGGAACGCCATTCTTACCTGTCAGTCAATCTGGACTATGCGTGACCTTGTGACATTAAAGAATAATTTGATCTGTTTTGCTGAGTTTAGATGTTGAAGTCCATGCCATACACTAGCTTATCGAGAATAAATAATTGCAATTTCAGGACCACTGATAGCGCCAATTGTTTTTTCATATCTAGCAACGGTGAAACAGGTCTAAAAGGAAACCTTTATTGGCTCCAAGGTGAGACGTGACGGTTGGAAGAATGCACTCATCTTAAACATGGAGATGGCAAGCAGTAAGCTGCAGAGGTGGAAAGCATTTTCTCTGTGGCTTCTTTAAAGTGCTTTGTCATCATCGGGTTCTTGTCAGCCTCATTTGAAATTCAGCTGATGGCAGCCTTTTGTTTGTTTTTTTGGTCTTATTGAGACAGGGTTTCCCTGTAGCCCCAGCTGGCCTGGAACTCACTATGTAGACCAGGCTGGCCTCTCTCCCAGAGATCTGCTTTCCTCTTCCTCCCAAGTGCAAGACTAAAAATGTGCACCACCAGACCCAGTGCTGTTTTTAAAATATGTTTATTTGTTGGGATTCCTTAGAGCAAAGTGGTGTTTTCTAAGGAATCTTCAGAAGTTTGATCCCTTTAGCCATAGCTTTAAGATAGAACTGGACTTTTAGCTGTTGGAAGTAGCTATTGTCTATAGGAAAGAGAAAGCTAGTCATACCTTTTATAAGAGGGCCATCAAAATTTCTCTTGTTTCCTACTCGACAAAAACAAAACAAGAAACCCCAAACTGAAAAAATAAGAAAAATTTTTTTAGCAATATAATTGTGCCAAACAAACAAACAAACAACAACAACAAAAAAAACCCCATCAAACACGCTGGGCATGTGGTACATCCCTGTAATCCTAGCACTCAGGAGGTGGAGGATCAGGAGTTCAAGGCTAGCCTCCACTATATATTGAGTTTGAGGGCAAGAAGTTATTTGAGTTACGGAAGACTCTGTCTCAAACAAAACAAAACACCCAGTTACTGTGAATGTCACTGCCTCATATTAAAGAGCAGTTTGGGGGACTAGCTCTGAGATCCTAGATAGGCTACTCAATCTCACTGATGTCTCTCCTTGTCTATTAATGGGAATTTTAATTTATCTGCTTCCAAGAGTTATTGAGGCAAGAAAATGAGATAATGCAGAGAAAGCCCTGAACACTGACTAGGTTCTCCGTCAATGTCAGCTGTAACAATGATTGTTATTATTATGACTTTATTATTGTCTCTAACGTCATAGTTATGAAGAGAAAAAGAAATAGACCCATGCATTTAATGTTAAAAATAATAAAGAGCAGTTTGGGGTTCTGAGTTCCTGTCTTTAATTTGCATATATTCCCATATATCCTGTTGCCCAAAATACTGTCATTCTGTCCTGATGTCAATTGCAAAGGAAGTGACTTTTCATCTGATGCTCTGCAGTTCGGGACTCAGTAACTGCTTTTGCAATTTCTCTTTTCAACTTTTCTAACAGGATATCAAAACAGACTTATAAGCAGTAGATACAAAAAAAGAATGAACCTTACCTGGGGTGTTGTTTGCTATTAGTTATCTAGGTTAATTACCAAGTCATGTTATTTTTTTCTCATGCCTCAGATTGGAGTGAAACCCAGCTACTCCTCCGCTACTCTCTGCCATCATGGGGGAACTTTTCCGGAGCGAGGAGATGACACTGGCCCAGCTATTTCTACAGTCAGAAGCAGCTTATTGTTGTGTCAGTGAATTAGGAGAACTTGGGAAGGTTCAGTTCCGAGATGTAAGTGGTTGAAAGCTCCTTTTTGATTACCATTGAACTCACTTTTTTTGTGGTGGGAGGAGTCATGTTTAATGTGTTTTTTAATTAAATTTTTTTTTTTTATTTGCAAAAGGAATGCTGTAGCTCTGGCTTAGTATTGGTAAAGTATATTTCAAGTTGTCTTTCTAGGTGAAAATGGTTTCTGTGAGCCCTTCCACGCTTTTTGCTAATTCTTCCATGGAAATCATTCTGAATTGGGCATACTGTTCCCACCTATACTGCTCACATTTGAGAGGCTGAGGCTAGACATCTGTAGTCCTTGGCCAGACTGAGCTGTAGAGCGAGACCCTTTCTCAAAGAAAAACTAAACAAAACAATATTAACAAAACAGAGCATGATATTGACTGCCTTGCAATACACTTGGGAGGTGGAGGACGAGTTCAAGGTCATCCTTGGCTCCATAGCAAGTTTGAGGGTAGCCTGGGCTACACAAAACCCTGTCTTAAAACAACAACAACAACAAAAAAAGAAGAGTAGTGGTATTTTAAGCACTCTCAAGGAAGGTAATTGCTAGAGATTCTGGGAGAGGATACCAAACTAATCTCTCACTTTTTACTTTGTTCTGGGCTCCTTAACATCAGAACATGGTAATTAAAAAAAAGAAATTATTGTAGTTCTTCCATACAATAGAATTATTTTTTTAATTTAAACAAATCTGAGATAAGCCAACCAGCTACAGATATATAGTATATAATTAAGCATATACTGATAATTCATTATTTTGGACACTTGGAAAAGATGTAAAAACAAACTGGACTGTCTAAGGGTTAAAAAAAGGATTCTCTATGGAGCTTATAATCTGATCCGGAAGACACAGTATACCCTACTTAAAGGTGGGGGCACTAAGGGCCATGTCCCTCCCTTAGAGGGTATTGTTAGCCAATACCTGAAGTTTCCTGAAGCTTTCATAGCATTTATCCTGGTCATGGTTTCACATTTATCAATAGGAATAGTTGATTAAAGTCTCTCTTCAATGATCTAAGCTCCATGAAGACAGAGACATTCTCCGTTTTTCATTTATTTATTTATTTTATTTTTTTGGTCTTTTTGAGGTAGGGTCTCCCTGTAGCCACAGCTGACCTGGAACTCACTATGTAGACCAGGCTGGCCTCAATCTCACAGAAATCTGCTCACCTCTGCCTCTTGAGGGCTAGGATTACAGGTGTGTACCACCACACCTGGCTAGTTCATTATTGTGTCTTTATTGCCTACATGCAGGTCCTTGTCACTGTTGCTTGGAATGATTGGGTGATGAAAGAGGAGTGGTCAGAAATGGGTTGATAAGTGAAGGTCCTAGAGTGGATAAGCAGTTCCTCTGATACCGCCGTGCCTACTGTTCTCTGTGTCTTCAATAAACTTACCTTAGTATTTCAAAAGAAAAGAGAAAAGAAAGAAGAAGCCAGGCATGGTGGCTCACATCTCAAAATCCTAGCACTTGGGAGGCAGAGGCAGGAGAGTCACTGTGGATTGGAGGCCAACCTGATCTACATAGTGAGTCCTTACATAGTGATTTCTAGGCCAACCAGTGCTACATAGTAAGATTCTGTCTCCAAAAAATATTCTCAGTCTGAGTTGAAACTGCCTTGCGATGGTCTTAATCCTCATTTTCTTTGAACCATTTTGTACCTTCTCTGTAAACATTTTCTTCCCTGACCCATTTTCTTACCTTCTTGCTATGTCTACCTTCTGCTAGCCTCTCTTTGATCTTCCCTGCCCTTGTCCTGACTGTTAGTGTCCCTAAGATTCTTCTTAGCGCTCTCTGGGCAAGCTTCTCTGTCCTCCATCTTCCTTGAGCCTGTTTTCCTGCTCTTATCTAACCTCAAATCTTTTTTTTTTCTTTTTTTTCCCCTTTGTCTTTTTGAAAGAGTCTCCCTGTAGCCCCAAGTGGCCTGGAACTCACTATGTTGACCAGGCTGGCCTTGAACTCACAGAAATCTGCCTGCTTCAAACCTCAAATCTTTCGTCTTTCTTCTGTAAGTCCCAAAGCTACATCTCTGGTTCTCACTTCCCAGACACCATCTCTGCATTTAAAACTCTGATATGACTGCCATCCTGTGATTCTTTCTCAAGTTCAGTATATCTAGATCCCAACAACTTACCTTTCTTTTCATGTTTTTTTTTTTCTTTTCTTTTCTTTTTATTATTTTTTATTTTATGTGTATGCATGTATTGCCTGCCTTTAGGTAAGTGCACTGGTGTCGTGCAGTGCCTGAGGAGTCAGAAGAGGCTGTTGGATCCCCTGGGACTGGAGTTAACAGACAGTTGTTAGCTGCCTTGTGGGTATTGGCATTTGACCCCGGGTCTTCTGCAAGAACATTCAGTGTTCTTAATCTCTGAGCCATCTCTCCAGCCCCATTCATGAGCTTTTTTTTTTTTTTTTTCCAGTCTTTTTGAGACAGGTTCTCCCTGTAGGCACAGCTGGCCTGGAACTCACTATGTAGATCAGGCTGGCCTCGATCTCACAGATTCACCTGCCTCTGCATCCCAAGTGCTGGGATCAAAGGTGTGCGCCACTATACCCTGCTCATGAACTATTTTTCATCATGACTTCCTAAACAAGAGCTAAGGCATCAGAATTCTAGTTTTCTAGGCTTGAAACCCAGGTCAAATTTGTCACCCTTGGGGGCTGGAGAGATGGCTCAGCAGTTAAGAGCATTGACTGCTCTTGCAGAGGACCCAGGGTTGATTCCCAGCACCCACACAGTGGCTAACAAAACCATCCATAACTCCGGTTCCAGGGGAATCCGAAACCTTCTTCTGACCTCCGTGGCATTGCATGACATGGGTGCACTCACATACATGCAGGCAATACACTCATACACATAAAATAAAAATAATTTTAAAAATTAATAAAGTTTGTCACCCTTGGTGTGCAGTTCTTCCTCTAGTCCTATGATATCTCTTTGAAAAGTATTTTATTTATTTATTTTTATTTTTTAAATTTTTTTATGTGTATGTATGTATTGCCTGCATGTAGGTAAGTGCACCCATGTTGTACAATGCCCGTGGAGCACAGAAGAGGCTGTCGGATCCCCTGGAACTGGAGTTACGGACAGCTGTTAGCTGCCATGTGGGTGCTGGGATTTGAACCTTGGTCTTCTGCAAGAACATTCAGTGTTCTTAGCTGCTGAGCCATCTCTCCAGCCCTTATTTATTTATTTAATGTGTATGAATGTTTTACCTGTATGTATGTAAGTGCACCTGTGTCATGCAATACCTTTGGAGGCCAGAAGAGGGTGTTGGATCCCCTAGAACTGGAGTTAAGGACTGTTGTTGGCCACCATGGGGTACTGGTCCTCTGTAAGAGCAGCCAGTGCTCTTAACTGCTGAGCCATTGCTCCAGCCTCAGTGTCTCCTTTCTTAACATCTATTGTCTTTAGCCAACATTTTCCTTTTTCTTATTGCTGTATTTCAGTCATTCAGAAAATTATAGGGGCTAGGTGTGGTGGCACTCACCTTTAATCCTAGCATTTGAGAGGCAGAAGCAGGATCTGTGTGATTCCAGGCCAGACTGGTCTACAAAGGGAGTTGTAGACCAGCCAGGACTACATAGTGAGACCATTCTCCAAAAATCAAACAAGAAAACCCAAAACTATGGGGAATAACATAACAAACACTTAAGGCTTTACTGCCTGTTGGATAGGTAGACAGTCCAGATACAATTGAAGCCTCCATAGCTTCCATCCCGTTCATCTCCCTTCTTCCCTAATGGTAACCTATACAATTTTATTGATTTTTAGACAGGGATTTGCTATGTAGCCCAGGCTGACCTCAAACTCACTGTATTCTCCTGCTTCAAACCTCCAGAGAGCTAGGAGTACAAGTGTGTATCACCATACCCTGCTTACAGTCAGTTTTGTTTATCATCCCCCATGCTTTTTATTTTTATTTTTAAAATTTTTATTTTACATTTATGTAATATATATGCATGTATATGGATACCTGCATTTATGTAAGTGCACCACATGCATGTAGTGGCCGTGGAGGCCAGAAGAGAGTATCACATCTCCTGGAACTGGAGTTACAAATGGTTGTTAGCTGCTATGTGTGTTCTGGGAACTGAACCTGGGTCCTCTGCAAAAGTAGACAGTGCTCTTAACCGCTGAGCCATCTCTCCAGCCCCCCATCTCATTTTCTGAGGCAGAGTTCCCTCACTGAGCTTAGAGCCTGCTTTCGCGTTTTCTTTTGTGAGTCCTCTGGACTTGAACTCAGATCATGTTTCCATGGCACACACTTCACTGACTGAGCCATGTTCCCAGCCCTGTTCTATTATTAAAGATAAATTTGATCACTCAATTAAGGTATTACTTGTTAGATTCTCCATTGTAAAAGTAGCTTATCTTACCCGTTGTGATTAATAAGTAATCTGAGGGGATACTTTTGAGTTCTATGTGACTATCCTGTTTCCCAGAACCAACCTTTTTACCCAATATTTTTCATAATCTTTGATTTATTATTATTTGTGTGTGTGTACATGCCCCACTGTGCACATGTGGAAATCAGAAGACAAATTTGTGGAGTTCATTCTCTCCTTCTACCTTTATCTGTTCCAGGGATTGAACTCCGTTTGTCAGGCTATTCCTTCTGAATATATTACTATTCTTACTTAATTTTTGTGGGGTTTTTTTTTGTTTGTTTATGAGACAGTCTTATCTGTAGCCCAGGCTGGCCTAGAACTCACTATATAGCCCAAATTGGCCCTGAATTTATAGCAATCCTGCTTCAGCTACCCCAGTGCTGGGACAACAGTCTTGAGCCACTATGCCTGGCTTTGTGTTTTTAAGTTTTGTTTTTTAAAAAATATTTTATTTATGCCGGGCGTGGTGGCACACGCCTTTAATCCCAGCGCTTGGGAGGCAGAGGCCGGTGGATCTTTGAGAGTTCAAGGACAGCCTGGTCTACATAGTGAGTTCCAGAACAGCTGGGGCTACAAGGAGACCCTGTCTCAAAAAAGACAAAAA